ACCTTGAATTAGATCAGTCCACTGGGATCGAACAAAGTTAAAAACCCTTCCACCTCTTTGAATTCCATTGGCCTTGTGGTGAAAGCTAACATTTCCACATCAAAGATCTGGACTGGAATGGTAACACTCCCACTCACACTCTTCTCATCTCACATTCTTCATTCATCAGGCTACATTCCTCAAAAGGTGTTCAACTATGGTGGAAACTACTACAAGGAGACCCTCCAGGCTGGACTGGACTTACGGAGAAAGCAAATGGAATATGCACAGAAAATTAAAGAGCCCATGCTTATCACTTACGTGGATGGGAGGAGAAAGGTAGGAACTGTAGGAAGCTGAGGGGAACAGAAAGATTAATTTTCGCACATACATAGGCAGCGGCACATGTACGTGGGCTTGGGGAGTAGAAGTAGCTTAGAAACTGATCTTTTGTGATACTACCCAACTCGATTTTAATCTGTTTTAGTTCTGAGGAGGTAGAAGCAACTTGCGTTATAATTCAATCAGACTGAATGTATTTCTGGTTATAAGAAGGCAACATGAAATGAATGAAGGCAGCCACAGCCTGGCTCCTCCTGGGATTTATCTCCTACACTGTATGACAGTGGAAGCTCAGAGTGGAATAGTGACCATTCCCTGTATATGGCAGCTCTTCCAATTCTGGGCCCAAGGGTCACTCTTGAATCAAAGCCGAGGAAGCTTTAAGTTGCAAATAGGAACTCTAGACCTGATCTGGATATGCTGGAGGCTGACATTAGACACCCGAATTCAGACAATGTTCCATTCATTCAGCACTGTGATGCTTCCTCCAGATAAGCATAAAGCTTTTCTTTCAGGCTAAAAGTGTAAAGGTGTCTTTATCCAACCCTGTGCTGTCCCTATCCTGGGAGTGTTTGATGGGGACAGTGTAGAGACAGCTTTATTTGTAGTTTAAAAGGGTAGAGGAAGCTTTAATTTAAGTTTAAAAGATCAGAGGAAGCTTTACTCTGTATCTAACTGCATGCAAAGAAGGCAAATGGTATGTTGGCCTTCATTGCAAGAGGTATTGAGTACAGGAGCAGGGATGTGTTGTTGCAGTTGTACAGGGCCTTGGTGAGACCACACAGGGAATATTGTGTGCAGTTTTGGTCTCCTTTTCTGAGGAAAGATGCTCTTGCTCTCGAGGGAGTGCAGCAAAGGTTTACCAGACTGATCCCGGGGATGGTGGGTCTGATGTGTGAGGAGGGATTTACTAGGTTGGGATTGTTTTCACTAGAGTTCAGATGAATGAGGGGGATCTCATAGAAACTTATAAAATTCTAACAGGACTGGACAGGGTAGATGCAGGGAGGATGTTCCTAATGGTGGGTGTGTCCAGAACCAGGGGTCACAGTATGAGGATTCGGGGTAGACCATTTAGGACGGAGATGAGGAGACATTTCTCCACCCAAAGAGTGGTCAGCCTGTGGAATTCATTACTGCAGGAAGTAGTTGTTGCCAAAACATTGAATGTATTCAAGATGGGACTAGGTACAGTACTTGGGGCAAATGGGAACAAAGATTATGGGGAGAAAGCAGGATTAGGTTATTGAGTTAGATGATCAGCCATGATCGTGAAGAATGGTGGAGCAGGCTCAAAGGGCCGAATGGCCTCCTCCTGCTCCTATCTTCTATGTTTCTATGTTTCTGTGAGCGTCAGATGGAGATAGTGTTGAAATAGCTTTACTTTCAGTTTAAAAGATTAGAGTGAGCTTTATTTCCAGTTTAAGAGAGTACTGGGACACTTACTCTGCCTCTAACCATGTGCAACATGTCCTGGGTGTGTTTGATGGTGTCAGTGTCAAGGGAGCTTCACTTTCAGTTTAAAGCTCACAGAAAAAAATGTAGGACCCTGTCCACACATGAATGCACTGGTTGTGAGAGTATCAGATAGGGGAGTAACTATGTGACTAACATTCAGTAATATTCTAACGTCTGGGCTCATTCACTGGCCTGGAAAACCCAGAAATGAAAGATTACGGTGAAGGGGGACAGAGAAAGACACACATTGGCACGGAGAACACTAACACTTCCACTGGGAACACAGGCAAGATCTTAAGATGCAGCTAATATGGTGACACTCCCTTTCTTAGCTGGCAGTACTTGGTGAGAACAGGCCACTGAAACCTTTGGCTCCAAACGTGGATCCACTAGTCTGGACTCATTTGTACAAGCACAAGCATGAGTTCACCACCCAACCTCCTGAACTCCAGCGAAGAAATATCTCAGGTATGTGACACAAACAACCTTGAAAACAAATTCACACTGAGAGATGGTAAATCCCGCTTAACCATGGAACATGTGATCCAGTCACATCTGAGTTAAAACAGCACACAATGCAAATGTTTAAACACATCACACTGCACTCTGCTTTCAGTCCCATGGGATGTTATTTGTTTTAGCAGGAGGTGAAAGGAAGTTCACAGGAACATTTTTCTTCACCCAAATGGTGATTAATTTATGGAACTAATCCTAAACAAACATTTGTCCAGACGTTTTGAAAAGTTATAACTTTCCTTTAAAGGACACTAGCTTCTGGTTGTTGACTTGTTCGCTGAGCAGGTAGGTTTGTTTGCAAACGTTTCATCACCATGCTAGGTAACATCATCAGTGCACCTCTAGTGAAGCGTCGGTGTTCTGTCCCACTTGTTATTTATGTCTCGGTTTGCTGGGGTGGGTGGCATCACTTCCAGATTAGTTTCTTAGCGGTTGGTATATGGGGTTCAGCTCTACATGTTTGTTAATAGAGTTCTGGTTGGAGTGACAAGCCTCCAGGAATTCTCCTGTGTGTCTTTGCTTGGCTTGTCCTAGATGGCTACGTTATCCCTGTCAAATTGGTGTCCCCTTTGTCCATGTGTATTAAAATGAGTGATTCCATTAACAAACATGTAGAGCTGGACCCCATATACCAACCACTAAGAAACAAATCCAGAAGTGATGCCACCCACCCCAGCAAACCGAGACATAAATAACAAGTGGGACAAAACATCGACGCTTCACCAGAGGCGCACCAATGATGTTACCTAGCAAGTTGACAAAATGTCTGCAAACATACTTATCAGTTCGGTGAGCAAGTCAACAACGACATCAACAACCCGAGCTACAAATCCTCTCAAAAACCTTGAACCCTAGCTTCCCTTCACCATCTCTTCCCTCCTTTTCCTGATGCACCATTCAACAATAGAAGGTCATTTGGATGGTGTCATGGGAAAGCACTTCCTGTGCTGAAAAAGGGAAGTGTATATTTACAGGTGAGGCAAACCTCAGTGACCCACCCAGTGCTCTTGACTTGCTTGCCTCTACACTGAGCCGTTCAAAAGTGGCTGTCTGTTTACAGCCTTGGATGTAATGGAGACAGTCTGCTGTCTTGTCCAGATGAACCAGCCAGTCTTCCTTGTTGTGGAGGTGCCAATGAGACACTTTCAGAGACTGTTGGACCAGTGTCAATGCAGCGGTGGCCTCCACCGTAAGGCCGTGCTAGATAGATGATCCTTCAGTCAGAGGAGCCAAGGACACTGGTAAGAATGTTGGCACCACGTGAGGAACAACAACCCCATCCTCCTCAGTGTCTGGCTCAGCTCTCAGTTGGCACTGCAAACAACTGAATGGGACCTGCAGGGTAGCAACTGGTACTTGCATCCAGTTGAGAGTGGATGTGCACATCCTTTATCCTCCAAGGCCGAATGCCAACAGCTGCCTCTGCATCCCCCATCTCCCACTTCTCACTCATGACCAGCAAGTGCTGCCTTAGCTACGTACAAGGTCACCCACTGGGTGACAGTATCTGTGCATGTGGATGGACGGGTACTCTGTCCAATGTTGCTGAAACCGGTCCTTGTCCTGATGCAGACAGAAGAATCTATCCTTTTCCCATCAGGGCTTGTGGAACACACAAGAGAAGATGGCGAAAGTATATTTCCAGCAGAGAGCTCAGGATTCCTTGTCCCGAGGCTTTGGTAAACAGCTGCATGGGGAGGAGTGCACTCCTTAAGGGACTAGAATATCTCTTCATTCTCTCTCCCTGGGATGCCCATCTCACTTTCCCTGATTTTTTCATGAGGAAGCAGCCTGATGATTTCCATTCCTCCTTCATGGCAGTAATAATTGTGGAGATGGCACATTCCTCCTCCTGTCTGTATTTTCATGGGCTTTATCCGTCCTTTTCACCTGCAAAGTTATAAGGGAGATGCATATGGCGCAACTAACAATTGGATAATTGACGTAAGAACTATAAATATCAGAGTTGATAGGTTCACAGCAGCACCCGTGACTATTTGTCTTGCTGAGGGGTCAGTAATTCTCTGGGTACACATTCCTCGCATAGGTCAGGAGCAACATGTGCTGTCAGGCTCCTCAGCTGCAGCCTGTCCGTCCCTCCACAGACACACACTCCCATTCCCCAACACTCCCTCTCCCCCCACACACACACACACCCCAACACTCCCTCTCCCCACACACACACACA